TAATAAGCCAGTATATATGTATGGTGGTAGTAAAAGAGTGACAGAGGACAAGTAAAGGCCTCTGTATCTCAGCTGCAAGGGGCAGAATGGAATTGAATTGCCTTTGCAGATCCCCTCTGCAGAACAAGTGTGTCTTCTGGACAATTTGAGCTAAAGATACACTTAGAGCTGTAGTCAGCTCTAGATCCTTAGATCTAGGTGGCTTAGATCCTCCCACCTGCCTTTTGCTGGCTCTAAGCTCTCAGAAGTGCCTGTCCGGGAGGAAATGTTACTCAGTTTTAGACAGAATATAGTCTCTTGTGGTTTTTCCCCACAAAGGTACAATTTAGGAAAAGGAAATATTTAAGCCTAGAATTTTTATATTCAAAGGGTATTTTTTTGTCTGAAAGCAATGTTTTCAGTGTGTCTGGCAAAGTGGAGCATCTCATTTTCGGTTGATGGCCATGAAAATGAAGAGGATTTTTATCTGGGAGTTCATTAAATACTTCAATTTTGCTTGGTCTTGAGATAGACTAGATATTAAGGGAAAAAGGAGGCACATGGGTTGAGTGCAATAGTTGGAACAAGGGCTCTTTCCTCAGAGTCTCTACCTGTGCATGTCTCTTTTAGAAGGTACTTCTCTGTGTTGCTTTTTTTTTTTACTAGACAGGATTTACTGCATCAGTGGTCTTTAACACTGGAATAAAAGGACAAACTGAGAATGTAATGAAGTCTGTGGCACAGTTTCTCTTAAAATGAAGAAATACTCTTTTGGGTTTTTTGTTTGTTTTGTTTAGGCTGTTTATCACACATAAGAATTTCAGGTGGGTTCCGGCATTCCCAAGTTGTGTAAATCAAGAGTCCTTTGTCTGTTTTCAAAGAACTTGGTTCCTAGGGAATATATGTGAGCCCATTCAAGTGTTTTGAAATACACACCTTTTTCTGTTGAACTACATTTCTATCTAAAATTTCAGTCATTGTGGAGGACTATCTTTAATTTTTTTTGTATTTCTTCAGAGTTAGTCTTTATTCTTAACCCTCCTTGTCCTGGAAAGGCATTTGTATTGATCCCAACGTGTGGTCTCAGACTATGAAACTTAGGAGCTCAGAGCTGACCTTTGAATGTCTAGTGAATCCATCCTCATTCTTTTTAGCAGAAACAGGGACCTGGATATCTGTTCTCATTTTTCCTTTGGAATCACCCATTTTTCTCCAGCCACTGCATCTGGGACAGATAATCTTTAAACTCTTCCCTTCTCTGAAAAACTTTCTAGGTTTACCAGTCCTGTGGAATAACATGAATTGCAGATCTTCTGGTTATATTTCAACTGTGTTGGGGCTGTGTTGAGAATGCAGCAACACCAAAAGAACCTTTAGGCTTTAAGAAAATTCAGTGTAATCATAAGACCTGTGGAAAGCATCTCAGAAAGACTCTTTTGAATGGATTTTTTAAAGGGATGGCTCAGTGGAAGATCTCTCAGTTGAGGGTTTCCTTTGTAAAAACTCCTTTGCAATGTGATTCCACAAATGATGTTTCTACTTGCAGTGTTAGTATAGAATAACACTCTTTCATTCTTGTGTGTGAAATTACAGATAAGCTGATCCATAATAATTGATCTATACTGCAGCTGGACCAAATTTTCTACTCAGGAAGCAACTCAAGATGCAGCCTGAAAGTTTCTGCCTTCAAAAGATATAGCTAAAGATAAAAGCATGGTAATGATGTTCGTGTTTTACTGATTATACATTTCCTTGGGCTTGGCACAATGCAGTTTTCAGGTCTTAATGGCTTTGCTGTATTCTGACTACATTTGCTAGTGTGTTGTGGGCATGTTCAGTAACACCTTGAGCAAACCAGGCCATGCACCAGAGTGGTCAATTTTTGGGCATTAATTAATTAAAGTGGTGCAGGGGAGTGACTGCAGCAGTTGTAGGATTAGTAGTTCATCAAAAAATACCGTTCGTGCATTAACTCTGTTCCTGGGTAACAACCTGCCATCCATATGTTTCTGGCTTATTCTTGCAACTCATTTTCTAAATAAAGTTGAAACCTAACTAATATGGTATTGAGTCCCTTGCTGTTTCAGTTTGTCAGACTTTCCAATAAAAGGCCTGTGTATGATGGCTTCATGCTTTTGGTATGTGTCAGAAATAGTTCTATGCATATACATTACAAAATTAGGATTTAATTTTTGTTGTGTAGCCATAAAAAATTAGATTATATAATTATTATGTTTTCCTTTCTTATCTTTTATATTTTTAATATAATTTTTGAGGATGCCACAGGGCACTCCTGCTGTGAATTAGCTGCAATAAACTCTCTTAAACAGATAAACATCAAAGAGCAGTAATGTTTTAAAATGAAGCAACCTGCATTCAAAATCCAATTGCTTTATGTTGTAGATCTTGAATGCTTCAGCTGCTAAAAGTGGATGGGGTTTCTCAAGGGCACAGGGGAGCTGCATGAGTAGGATTGTAATGCAACAGGGATCATTTGAGTGAAGTTGCTAGCAAAATCCATTTGTTTTCACAGGAACAGGCTTCCTTCTATTTTTCTTCTTCCTTACAGAAAATATCAAGATATGAATAAATTCTCTGCTACCAGGAATTCTGCACTTGTATTTAGACTGTTCTTATTGAACGAGTTCATAAAATCTTGTGGACTTCATGGTGAATTCTTGTGGATAATTGATTAACTGCAAACTTCAGTAGGAATATCAGCTAAATAAATTCCTTTCTAAATAGTTTAGGGGATTTTCTGTAGTCTGGCATTCATGTTGAACCTAGAGCTGCTACTAGAATTGAAGCACCAAGCCTAGATTCTATTGAAATGCTGTCAATGTGATAAAAGGCCCAAGTTTGCATTTTGGGACATCTACTTCATATAACTAAGGCACTCTACTTCCTAAGGCTAAGACTGCTTGGAAAAGCCACCTCCTGACAGTAATGTGAATACAGGATCAGAAAAGCAGGCACCCACATTGCCCAAAAAATACTCTGTGAAAGTTAATAAGACCTCACACATGGACTGTAGGATGTTTAGGGTCTTACCATCAAAGGTTATGTTTGCCTTGAGCTCTTCAAAATTCTCCAGTTTTCAACCTGACCTTGGTAGCAATTGTGCTTTGCAGGTGCAAAGGTGAAAATATTTATATTTGGGTACACAGCTGCATTTGGTTGCTCCATGCCTTTAATGCTTCTTTAGCTGTGTTGCCTCTTTCATATAGTTTCTTTCATATAGTTTTCTGATGATCTGGGGTCCTGAAACAATGGTCAATAAATTGGTATTTAGTTTAGTTTTAACTTGAAGTAGATATCAGGATGAGGAAAGACCAGAGCTGAATAAAGCTCCCTATTTCTTTTTTTCTTCTTAAAGCAAAATCTGTGTTGAAAGATGCAACCTCCCTGATACAGTAATTACAGGGTGCTATCCTTAGTGATGTTAAATAGCTCCCTTTAGTGTATCTGTTTGATCTTGAGCTGTGAATTCCCATTCTTTCGTGGGTGTAACTGTAAACAAGAGGATTAACATTGCTTCAGTGATGTTTTGCTTAAGTGAATCAAAGTTGAAAGGGTGTCTTGAATATATGTAGAAAGCTTTGTGTGTTGCAGGGTTCCTGTTCTATATATATGCACAGTGCACCTTTCATGGTAAACTTCAGTAATGCTTTCAAGTTTGAGTTCATTTTAAGCTTTTTATATTTTGGTTGGTTTTGTGGGCTATTGTGAGTGGAATCCTCTGGATCTGTGGTAGTGACCACAAAGACGCTGTGAAGTTCCAATCTATTATAGCCATCCTTTCAGCTGCATAATTTTTTTCAAGACCTGTCATGGAGAACAGATTCTCACTTTAAGAGGTTTGCCAAATTTTAGGCTTTCCTAAAGTGCAGTGATGGCAAGCAGTTAATACACCAGGGATGTGGGTCCCTAGGAGAGTGGAGTCCTAAACCGCTGTCTTCTGTTTGTGCTTGGAATGCAAGCAGAGGAAGGACTGTTTCTTGAGGGGAAGGTCTGATGGCATTCCATGGCCTGGTGCCAGCGTGGGTTGTCCATCATATCCATAAGGCTCCTCATGTGTTGTTGCTAAGCTAGTGCAGGACACTGAAAAGGAAACAAGAAAATGGGGAGAGAAGAGTGTGAATATTTTCAGTTCCAGTCACTACCTGACATGGAGAGGCTCCTGTGTCATGTCATCAGCTGTGAGAAAGGAGAGGAAGGAGCAGCATCCCTAGAAACTTGTCCCTCTGCTGGACTCCCCCCACTGCTCATCCACTCTTCAGCAGCCAAAATCTGCCATTAGAGCACCTTCTGCACATGCATTTTTTAAGACATGACCTTAATTAGAAAATACAGTCCTCCCCCCTTCCCCTAGATATCCAACTAAAAGCCCAATATAATGATTCTTTTTTTTTAACCTTAACTCAGCCAGATTCTTACTATGCCTGACACCTCTCTGTGACATGATTGATGTATTGAGGGTTTCCCTGTTATCTCCTACCTTCATCTGATGTGGCACTCAGAGCTTGTCAGTGTCAGAAGCTTGTGGCAGGAGCCCAAACCCTGTCTCTTGGAGGGGACTCACTCCTCCATGATTCCTCTCCAGGTTGTCAGTTGAGTCTGTTGTTTTCATTTCAGCATGCCTGGTTGCTCTGATCAGAAGGAGGCACTCTGCTCTGCTTGGAAGCAGTACTTTCAGAGGACACCAGGAGTTATGTGGTCCCTGTTTTCCTTCCTGTGGAGGAAGAAGCATTCACGTTCACATGTTATTCGTTGTTTCGAGATTATTTAAGGAGCCACCGCTGTTGAACTAGCAGGGGATCTTTCCTTCAGTGACCTTTGCCAGAGCAGCTGATTGGTGTGCCCCAGCTGCATGCCATCATTTTCTTGGGAAAGTTTTAAGACTGTCAGAAAAATGAGCATCTTCTTTCCTAGCCCTTACTGACGTGTATGGGCTTTGCTGGCCTTTCCAACTCCAGTGCGGGAGAGGTTGTTTGTTTTCCTTTTAAATGTTATCCTGCCATCCTCCTTTTTTAACAATGCTGTATATACATGAAGACTTGCTGTGTATTCAGTGTGGCACATGGATGGAGTGGATGCTTTGAACTGCTTTTGCAACAATGGATTCTGCTTGACTGATAATGAAACCATGGGATAGACCTCAGGGAGGTGAGTCATATGTTAATTTGTTCTTGACGTTTCCTTCATATGTTAAAAGCTGTGATCTTTCAGAAAAATCTCTTATTTTATTTTTTTTTTTGAAGCTACTTCCTGGGGCCATGGCAGATGCTGTTTTGGAATGGCACCCAATGAGTTGTTTAATGTAGTTCAGTGCTTGGTTGGCATTCTGCTATTGTGCGAATATTTTTGGTACTTCTTTTACCACAAAGATATTTTATTAAGAGTGGCACATTGTTATACACATGTGGTGCTATGAAGCTCCAGAATATGCATGGGACATAATGTTGAGCTGCAGAAACACAATAGCAATGAGTCACTGAAATCCCTTGTTGGTCACAAGAGTTTGAACAACTGCAGTGATAATCTTTTGAGACAATGTACAACTCCAGTGGTATTTGCTATCTGCTCTGTGGTCTCCCTCAGTTAGCTGCTTGATTGGCTTGGCTTTGTGGGTATCCTAATCATGTTGGCACAGTCACTTTGATTAACAGAGACATGCAACTTGGAAATCTCTAGGCTTGCACCGACCTCAATAAAGTTGTGTGCTTTTTCTCTTTCCAAATTTCAGCAGCTTCCTGAGGGCACAAGAAATGTTTTGCACAGCTTTCCATGATGGTTGGTGAATATTGAAATGTGGGGGTCAGAGGAGTCCATCTGCTTCTCTGTAAATTGTAGGCACAGAAAAAGAAAGAGTAAATAAATTAAAAAAAAAAAAGAAAGAAGAAGGGGTGAATGCAGGATCCTTAAATTTGTGTTATTTTTTCATGGCCTTTCCCATAGGTCCCAGGTCACTTTAAGCATTAGTTTTAGCCCTTTCTTTGGTAATACAAGAGAGCAATCTCATCAACATTACTTCATTTGTGCCTAATCTGGCCAATCTTCTCCTGTTACATCTACAGTATATTTCTAGGTGTCATGCTGAATGCTGTCTTGATCTTATTTAATTTCTATGCAGCTCTCTGTCTTTTGAGAGAGTAGGCTTGTTTTTACAGCCAGGTAAACAGAATTGCAGGTCCTTTGGCAAAATGAGGGAAAGCTTAATTCCTATTATACCTCAGACCAGAAGAAATAGAAGTTTAATATCTCATATTACACTTAAGGAAACTGTGAGGATATGAAATCCATATGGTGGTTTTACTAGGGGTTATTCCTCTGCAAGTTGGTTCTTGACCATATTCCCCAGTCTTCTACTTGTGTTTTTTAAGGAGATAAAATATTTTCAATGGCCATTATCTACTGCTATGTGGTCCTTGAATTGCCATCTCCATCACTGGAGGTTAGGATGTCTTCTAAAAGACAGCTCAGTCAAGCCAGAAGGATAAGAATTTAACTTAGATACTGTGGAAAGCTGAGTGTCCAGTGCTGAAATTTGAAATAAAATGTGATTTTGGAGGGAGACATTCCCATCTATCCACAGACATAGGTTTTTAAAGTATGCTTTAGATGAGGTAGTTATCCCAGCTGTTGAAAGTATTTTTTGTAGAGAGAGTTTGTAGATCCTTGCAGTTTTCATTAAGGTAGTTTCCAGGACCTGTTTGAGAGGTCTCTTTGTTTCCAAAAACCTTGGAGCCCCCTCTCCTCCTTAGCTCAGCTCTGCCTTGTCTCACAGGGGTTACCAGGTCACATGCGCATTTCAGGGGAGTCATCATTCAAACTTAAAACCTTCCCATCCCCTCTCTGTGATGTTGTTGTTAGGGGTCAAACCTCATGCTTCCATTTCTCATTGAAGAAATTGTTACTTAAAATATACCACAACACCTGCTTCCTTGACCCACTTTGCCTTAAGCCCTTTTTTATAAGATTCCTTTTTTTTTTTTTGTAGTGGCAAAGAGATGAGGGATCCTGAGGTCACTGTGCCGTGTGGGACATCAACTGAATGTGCCAAAGATTGTGAACATGAGTCTTCTCACAAGTGAGTTGTTTCCTGGTGCTGAAATTTTTGCCATTTACAGTTATCCTTCCATTCCTTAAACATTTTTTAGGTCTTTAAAAAAATTATTCTTTAGTTGGAATTTATAGTAATAACCTGTTCTTACCCCAAAAATTGTGTTTATTAGTGATTACTTTGAATCATTCTAGGAATAGGATCTGCATTTTCAATCTTTCAGGAAAAGGAAGGGAATCACATTTTTTAGCTTGTTTTGCCTCATTATGAAAAAGTCCATTTAATTCTGTCTTTTTCTGTCTCCTCCTCCTTTTGTCTCTTCATTCACAAGAACATTTGGACTTACAGAGAAAAGTAATTTCAAAATAATTTTTTTTTTATTATTATAGAAGCTACTGTCTTGTCATGCATATTAATTTGACACTGTTGATCCTATACAAACACATTTCTGCTACTGGCTTCTTAGGAATGAAAGTATTTTAAGTATATCAGTGTAAACAGAGTTTACTGTAGTGCACACATCACTTGATTAAATCACCACTTATTGCATATGACACCTGCTTTTGTGTTCTAAGTTATTTGAGCTGGGGAAAGTTAAGCACACAGTAGCTATGAAAATAATCTTGTTTTCAGCTGTTTTTTTGTCTCTCTTTAAGTACTCTGACTGTAGAATGAGACATTTTTTCACTTTGAAGGGAACTGGTGTAACACTACAGAAGAATTTAAGACACTTGGATAACATGCTAAGAAAAGATACAGAAGCATCTGTATGAGAATATGATTGTTTCTTTAAGGAAAGATCAAAAAAGGGGGAGAGGTGGAGCTCTCCTTTGTTTTTTCTGCATGTTATCAAAATGAACATCCAGTGAGGATACTGCCTTCTGCTCTGGGCAGGAGCCTGTCCGCTATAAGGGACAGGAAAAACCCAGGGGAATCTACACAAATTCAGAGGATTTTGTACCTTGCATTTGTGAACTGAAGCTGGAATAGCCCCTTATTTTAACAAAGGATATTTTCCTGTTACTTTGGCTGGGAATTGAGCGTGCAATTTTATCTCAGTGTCACGCTACTGCAGATGCTGGATGGGAAAAAGAGGCCTTCAAATGGAGTTGAAAATACTGCAACCAAAACTGGACAGCTTGGGCTGCTGAAAACCTTTTGCATGAAGCCCTGGCTCCCTTAAAGTAGCTGGCAGTGCTCCCATTGAGTTCAGTACAGCCAAAGGATTTTGCCTTTATATATTTATTCTGATTTATGAAAAGCTCAGTCATCGTGGTATCTAAGCACTGAGATACGGTATTTAGTTACAAACAATCATTTTAAGAGTGATGCCAAAATCTACACATGCATTAGACTTAGAGATTAAAGAACATGGAGCTTTGGTTGCATGTGCTTCTCCAGTTGTAATTATTCTTCATTCTAAACACTGCAGACCTCCGTGCTGATGGGCACAGAGGGGCTCCAGACTGAGACAAATCAGAAAGATTATGTGATATAGTAAATAGCTATAAATTAATAGATCTTGCTGAGGTGCCAGTAACTACCTTGGTTTCCCTGTCAGCCCCAGAGGAATGAATAATTCCTCAGATTTTAGCCAGCCATTGCAGGAAATGATTTTAATCTTCTGCATTTTTTTAATGGAAACTGTTTACCTTGCAGTAACTTGTACAGCTCTCCACTCTGATGCTGCATTACAATAACTTGCAGCAGAAGAAAGCTGGTGGAGTTCAAGTGAAATCTATCCCAAGGAAAGAGTATCCAGAGCAGCTGGTTTCATTTATATATTTTATTTCTGAAGCTCATGAGCATTCCAGTGAGAGATGGTATAATTGATTTAAATCAAATTATGAAACACTATACTTTTTATTCTAAAATCCACTTTTCTGGCATTCAATTCTGTAATGTATCACTCACAGGTAATGCTGGTTGAAGTTGAAGAGGCTGAAAAATTCTCCTCTGCATCATGCAGTCCACTGTTACATGTACTTGCTGCGGAGTTGAAGTCACCGTTTCTGTTTGTAACAGAATCACTGTATCATTAAGGAATTGAGGCTCTGTTGCTTTAGGTAGATGCAAAACTGTATTCCTTGAATTTATTAGTAATAGAAGTTTTCCTTGGTTTTTGGAGGAACATCTTAATTCAGCTGATATAAGTGTACACAGAACAAATACATGGCAAGCAGAACAGAGCTGTTTTTGGAAAGGGATAACATTGGACATTCGTTGCAGCACAGGTTAACCTGCATTTTAAGAGGTTCAAAATATTCAGTGTTCAATTGTTCACTCAACTTTCTAAGTGTTTGCTGAGGCTGAAGACCTCGTTAGTGTGTTAAAATCTTGCCAGAGTGTTTGTTTTCCCTAATAACTTCTGAACTGGCTTATTCAAACCAGATTTTATGGAGGTTATGAAATTCCTATAAATTTTCTGAAAAAATTTTGGCTGAGCAGAAAGAAGAGGGAATAACTGGTGCTACCAGTAATGGAAAGGCTGCAGCTGGAGCTCAATTGCTCTCTGCTTAGGTTTGGCCACCCAGCTTGGCTGGCTGGGAGAAACACTGGGGTATGGTGCACGTGTGCAGCTCTGATCTAGGGCCAGCAGATACCTGCCCGTGCAGGAGGCATCAGCTGTGAGCAGGTAGATGTGTCTGCAGAGGAAATGTGTCCTCCATAAGCAGCGCAACAAAGGAACAAATGTGCTGGAGAGCATCCAGAGGAGGGCGACTAAGCTGTGAAAAGGTCTGGAGCATAGTTCTGATGAGGAGCAGCTGAGGGAGCTGGGGGTGCTTAGCCTAGAAGAAAGGAGGCTCAGGGGAGACCTTATCACTCTTTACAACTCCCTGAAAGGAGGTTGTAGTCAGGTGTCAGTCTTTTCTCCAAGATAGTTAGTGGTAGGATGAGAGGAAATGGTCTCAAGTTGTGCCAGGGGAAGTTGAGATTGAACATTAGGAAAAAAAATTCTCATGGGAAGAGTTATAAAGCACTGTAGCAGGCTTCCCAGGGAAGTGGTGGCCATCCCTGGAAATATTTAAAAAATGACTGGATATGGTACTTGATGACATGGTTTGATGGTGAATGCAGTGGTGGTGCTGGGCTAATGGTTGGACTCGATGATTTAAGAGGTCTTTTCCTACTTTGAAATTTCCATGATTCTGTGTCAACCTTGCACAAATGACAGTGTGATAAAACACTTTAGAGATCTCTGTAACTCCACTGTTTCCACTGCCTGGTTTGAAGCAGCTGCTGGGGGATGACTGGGGACATTTGCTCTGACCTCACTGGCACCATGCTGCTGCACACAAGCACATTGGAGCTGCCTGTGACTCACAGCCTGGGTTAAGGTACAGGAGAGTAGATTGGGAGGTGATATGGCGGCCGGAGAAACAATTGTACCTGGAGGCAAATTGCTTCACTAGGAGGTGAGTGTTACTGGCTTTAAGGAGCCAGTATTACAAAACACCATGACAACAGATTTGTATTTATTTACTGGCACCCACTCAAATTGAATGTGTATCTCTGAGCAGTGTCAAGTTTCAGCAGTGCTGGCACTTTTCCATAGAATCCAAGTGCTGGCTGGTGCATGTGGACATGATCATGGTTCTGTGTTTTACACTTCTGTCCCTTGCTCTTTGCAGGGCCTGTGGGTTTGGGGCATTCATTTCCTGGGATAGGCCAATGTGGAAGCACGAGATTCCAGCTTTGAAAAGCACTTTTCTAGAAGCTGTTAAAGCAAATGCTTTGTGCGCTGCACTTACCAAAAGCTTGATGTAGGATGACGGCCTTTTCAAGGTTTCTCCTCTTTTTTTTATTTTCCCCTCCAGTAGGAACTTCTATGCCTGGGTATAAAAGTCCACTGTGAGCCAAACTTATGTTACATTTCTCAGGTGCTCAGTTTAAGTGTGTTTGGGAACCACACAGGCAATTTTTGCTCAGTCCTCTAAGAAGAGTCCCTATCAGTGATGATATATCTGTGTTTCCTTCACAGCCCCTGTTGATGATGTTGGAGAAAGCATTTGTCCTGGACAAGATGGTTCTCAGCTCCTGTAACTCAAATCTGTGCTTATTATGGGGGACCATTCAAATAAGTTTCTCGGTGGTCAACAATTGTATTAGCTATTCCTCTTGGCTTAGGAATAGACTGAGAGACCTGCTTTAAAAAAGGTCTACAGACATAAATGATCCATTCTTATCAGTGTTTATACCATCACTAGCTGGATTTGAAACTATTCCCAGTTCAACATCTGATTGCCAATACTCTGAGCAGTCTTTCAAGGTCACTGAAGTGGCATCATAAATGAAGTATAAAATGTATCATACCAGTGGTTTACAACAAGCCCACAGCACAGCTCGGTTGGTTGATGGGCCATCTCTGTTTATGTTAGCTGTTAAAAACTCATGCACACAGCCATACTAAGTACTGATGCCATCAAATGTGGTCAACACAGACAGTTCAGCCTGCAAAAGTGAGCCAGAAAAGGCATTAAAATGCTTAGTCTATTACATACTTCCTTATTTTTGTCATTTTGACATTTATGCGTTGTATCATTGAGGCTTTTGAGAAAGAAGACACAATTCCTGAAGCAAACTGAACGGAGATGTTCAGTTTATAATGCCACAGCCGTCTGGTTTGCATTTAATTCCAATTGACCACCTGCATGCTGTTAACCTCTGGAAGGTTACTGTGATCACAGTTGTTGTTGTTTATTTAAAAGTTCTGTAGCTCAAGGAAAATGTTAGTAATCAGTTACTTAACCTACACTGTTTACTGATCTCATTGAACTTGCAGATGCAGCTTTGCTGGCCAGTGAAAACTGGGAGTTGTCTGGTGCCAGTAATAGCTTGCACTTATTTTTCAGGCAGGAGTAGGCTGAGCAATTAAAATAATTTTATTTTTTTAATAAATATGCTCTTCGTCTGTTGGCTATTTGTCTAATATGTCAAAATCCAAAATATAACTTAGAGCATGTGGAAGGTAGCTCTAAATGAGCCAAACTTTCACAGAGGCATGCTTGAGTTGTGAATGCTGCTGG